TGAGAAATGAAAATTAAAACAACACTGAGATTTCATCTCACCCCAGTAAGAATGGCTAGCATTAAGAGTTCTTATCTTTTTAAATTAAACTTTTCCTTGCATTGTAGCATCAGAAAAGGACAGATATTCTGTCTCTGTCTTTCTGACTGTACACAAAGTGAAAACATTACTGCAACCGACATCCCCAAAGTCCCTTCTTATCCCTATTTGAGTAATTATATTCTCCAAAAGTATTCATTATCCTAATTTTTTTTTAACACTGTTGAGTAGCTTCTGTGCGTTTGAACTCATATGCACGTAATCATATACTATGTAGTGTTTGTGTCTGGCTTCTTTCAGTTTGTAATATTAATCCATATTATTGTTTAAAGCAGTAGTTGACTTACTCTCATATTTGTATTGTTTTCCATGGTGCAAATATACTGCAGTCCTGTAATTTACCTATTCTGCTTTCTTTTGGAGGGGGTTGGTTCTGGGGATTGAATCTAGGCATTGGCACTGAGCTACACATGTACTTCTTTTTAAGTTTTTAAAGTTTTGGGACAGTCTCTTTCCTGTTCTTCTGTGATAAGCATTTGTATTTTCTGTTTTGGTTATTATGAATGACATTGCTATGAACATTTTAATGTATGTGTTTCTGTTGAGTAAATACCAAGCAGTCCTGGGGCTTTCTTTTTCTAAATTAATATTTAGCTTAAATGCTTCTTTTGCTTAGTTTTGCATGCTATATTTTTCCATCCTTTTAAAATCTCTCATGGATGTGTTTCATTATGTCCTTTATGTTCTGCATATTGAAATTTTGAAACCTTGCTCTTCTTACTTGGTCATGTATATTATAAATTTAGCAAGTACTTAGTATGTGCAAGGTAATCTAAATGTGTTTTATATACATACATACATGCACAGTTATTGTAGCTCCTGATTTTCTTTTGGCTAGTTTGTCCTTATTTCACCTATTAAAATTTATACTTCTTGAATGTAAACTTTAGGTTTGCAATAATATATATTCTTTCCTCATATAAAAGATGAAATGTTTCTGACGTCTGAGTTACATATTGTTAAGTTACATTAGTTTAAATTCTGTTTCTTTCAGAGTTTATTTTCTAAAATTAGTATCATTACCATTATTTTGAATTTAATCCTATTTGGGTTCTTGAACTTTTGGATAGGCATTTTATATACTCTCTAGGTATTTCAGAAGTGTCTTATACTTCTCTTGATATTCCCATGAATCATAGGCTACTGTTAGACCTTTCTATTTTTCTCTATTTTCCAGTTTTATGGTTTTCCATGTTGTATTCTTTTATTTATTTATTTATTTTTGGTTTTTCTCTGGTACTGGGAATCGAACTCACGACCTTGCACTTGCCAGGCAGGTGCTGTGCCGCTGAGCTAAATCCCCAGCCCCTCCATGTTGTATTCTGAATAATTTCTTTTGACTGTTCTGGTTAACTGGTTGCAATAGTTTTTTACTATCTACTGATGAACTTACCCATGAAGTTTAAATTTCAGTGTTTGTGGGTTTTTTTTTTACTTTTAGTTCTGTTTTCAAAATTTTAGCTGATTGTTTATGGTATTTTTCCTACATAAATTTTAGAGTTGTCTTTTATTGTGTTAAGATTATATGTACAGGCTGAGACATACCTGTTATCCCAGCACTCAGGATGCTGAGGCAGAAGGATCGTTGCGAGTTTGAGACCAGCCTGAGCGACAAAGTGAGCTCAAGGCCAGCCTGAACTGACTGCGTAGTGAGACCCTGTCTCAGAAAGACAAAAAAAATTATATGTACAAAAAAATTACATGTTTTATGACCTGTTCGCTGTAGTATCTGAGGAATTTTGGGATGTGTTCCTGGTGCCTGGTATTTCTGTTAGTTCTCATTCAGTGTGTTGTTTCCTTAGGTGCTTGACCATTTTGAACTTGATATGTTCTTTGTCTTAGAAACATCATAGCAATTATGGTTTTTCCTTGATGCTTAGGATGAAGCTGCCTCCTTCTCTAGGCAGGACTTGGATTTATTCATGTTAGATGCTTGGGAATGCGAGCAGTTGGGGGACCCGGGAGCTCATGTTTTGAGGTTCTCAGGATTACGTAGATCATGTGAACCTCAGCGAATGTGCAGGCTTGAAGCTAAAACTAATTAGCTGTTCCTGCCTTGAGTCTGATATTACCTTGATGTGTTTAGCACCAAATTATCCTTCTCTATTGTTCCCTCTATCTTGGTTTGTGATAAAGGGGCATAGGTTGATTTCTGGTTACTCTCTTTTGCAGATGTGTCATTTCTGGGTGGAATAATAGTCCACATTAAAGTCAGGAGAATTTTTTATTTAACTGTCTGCTTAGGCAGGTGCAGATTTACCTCTGTCCTTTTGGTCCCATGAGATTAGCAAGACTGAATTACATTTTTGTCAGGATTGCCCTGAGAGTATAAGTGGATGTAATGTGCTAATGCCCCATTTACTACTTCAAGTTCTTTGGTATTTTTTTTTTTCTCTCTTAGATTTTGGTTTGAGTAATTTGTAGCACTTAAAAAACTGCTTATTTTGGATAATTTTTCCATAAAAGAGTGTGTGTGTGTGTGTGTGTGTGTGTGTGTGTGTGTGTGTAGCTGTTTTGCTCAATGGCTAGTGAAAAGGACAGCTTGCTATTAAAGGAAGTGAAATAAAAAGTTTTGTTAAATGTTCAGTGGAATGATTTTCATTACATAAGTGAATCTATAAATTAGGAGACATGAATTTTGGGGGGAGTTAAGTTTTATGTTTGATGTAAAAATATTTATACTTTTTGTTTGTGTCTAATAATTGTCTTGTTTTAGGGGTAAAGCATTTCCATCATGGCTCATTCCAAGACAAGGACCAATGATGGAAAAATTACTTATCCTCCGGGTGTTAAAGAAATCTCAGATAAAATATCTAAAGAGGAGATGGTGAGGCGGTTAAAGGTGAGTAAAATTAAACACTTATTTGCATATCTGTTTAATTTGGAGGTTTCTTGTGGAAATCATATAGGGCTATATTTTGTTCAGTCAGGTTAAAAAAATTGAAGCCACAAATGACAGAAGTATATAAAGAAGTAGAGTAGGTAAGGAAAGAGCACTGGGGATTCCTTGGCTCCTGCTAATGGGAGAGCAGTTAGGTGAAATTTAAAGAGTTTCTAGGGCCTCCTGTACTTGATTATAGAAAACAGATCTATAATACCCTTGTATTCTTTTTTGTCTTTCCAAAATTGTCTCCTTTTTCCTATACTGTATCTCAGTTATTTTCTAGAACAATTTTTAATCTAAGGAAGTTTCAAGAGTTGGTATTACTCAAGCTGTGGGTTAGTTATTTTCTTTGTTAGCCTTTGTCTCTGCTTCTGATGTGGTAACAAGTCAAAAAATTTTTTTTTTTTTTTTTTTTTTTAAGTTTTTTGAGACAGGGTCTTGCTATGTACTTCAGTCTGGCCTTGAACTCACTCTGTACCCCAGCCTGGCCTTGAACTCCTGGCAGACTTTCTGCCTCAGCCTCCCCAGCCCTGAGATTACAGTCCTGTGCTACCACACCTGGCTGCAAGTCAGTATTTGTAGTGAAGTTCTATGGATGAGACAGTCAGTGTTTGGCAAGCATCTCTTACGTATATTTGAATGATGTTTCTTTCACCTTTTCTTTTAGGCCAGTGATGGGTCTCTGTGCTTGTTAAAATGATTGAAGTAGTATAGTGGACAAGGAGAATGTTAAGTCCTTTAACAGTGACTTAGTCACTTTCTGGTGGCTGGGACACAATGCCTGACACCCACAGCTTAAGAAGAAGTTTATTTGGCGTTATATTTTTAGTCCATGGTCAAAGCACAACTGACATGGCAAAAGATGATGGTGGAAGAAAGCTGCTTACCTCAGGGTGGTCAGGAAGCAGAGAGCTGAGGAGCTGGCGGGAAGGAGATGTGCCCTCTCAGGTCATGGACCAGTGACCTGTTTCTTTTGACCAGACTCGACCTCCCCAACAATGCTCTCAGAAATGGATCACCGAGTGGATGAATGTACTGATAAGTAAAGCACCCCCATGAGCTAACCACCATCCAAAATCCCTGCCTCTAGCACATGGCAGTTGGGGTGGCATTCCAGATCTACATCATGACAGTCTTTAGTTTTGAGCTTTTTCTTCCCCATAGATTTTACCTACTTGGACATTTATGTTGCTTGATATTTTATTATTATCATTTAAAGAAACATATTTAAAAATGCAAAAATCATACTTACTAATGGATTATAATATAGTATTTCAGTACATGTACATATCACATAATGTTTGCTGGTATTAATTGTATGGATGTCTGCAAAAACTTTTTTTTTTTCCAAAAACTTTTCTTAATCATTGAAGGCCCAAGAGCTTTAAGACAAAATAACTATTTTATGTTGCTACATGGTATACTTTTATAAGGACAAAGTGATGTTAGTACTGTTACACATTTCACATAAGGCCTGAATATTACGCTTTTATTTATATATGAAGTATTAGAATGTCAAATATATGTTTATTATATGAAAGAAATGATACCTTTGAGAAGATTAAATTTAAGTAATACGGATATTTTAATCTGGTTAGGAGTATGTGTACAGTTTATTAGAAATAGTCAAGCTACAAACCCCTTCAATATATGACATGTTTCACTTTCTACATTATTTACATTCTCTTGACCTATTGAGCTTTTAGAGAAACCAATATATTTATTTCCTCAAATTTGTTTTATCTTAGGTAAGTGTCCCTATGGTTTGCTGAGACGCTACTTGAATGCAGACGGGATACCTGCACACTTAACAGCCTGATTAGCATTTAGTGTCTTTAAAGAAATACTGTTTTTGTTAGACATCTTTGACTTAGACTCATAGGTGTTACTAATGAATTTTGTAGCACCATTTGAATTGCAGATAGTAGGGAAAAATTTCTAATATCTGTCTTGGTATAATGATTTCCCTAGTACTTACATTTAGTGTTTGGCAGTATGTTTTCATTATTTTGCAGACATTTATGCCTACCAATAATCTGGTTAATAGCACTTTTTTAATTATTTATTTTCCTAAGTTGCACTTTCTGCTGTATTTATCTTTTTAGAGAAATACAGAAAGAATTGTATGAGATAAGTTTTGATACGTACAAGTTCTTATATAAGTCTCATAAATTACAGCAATTTGCTAATATGTAGGGTGACATTGTTTAAATAATTTTTAGTTTTTTTCTATAACATTTTATTTAAAATGCACTGTAGTCCCACTTTTTCTTTTCTTTTCTTTCCTTTTTTTTTTTGAGACAGGGTCTTGCGGTGTAGTTCAAGCTGGCCTTGAGTTCACTGTGCAGTCCATGATGGACTTGAACTCATGGTGATCCTCCTGCCTCAGCATCCTGAGTGCTGGGATTACGGGCGTGTGCCACCATACCTGGCCAGTCCCACTCTTGTGAAGAGATTCTAAAGAAAAAAGTAATTCTCTGTACCAAGCTGTTTTTTTTTTTTTTTTGTGTGTGTGTGTGTTGTGTGTGTTTGGATAAACACCTAGGTTATTAAAGCAAACTTACTTATTTTTTTTTTAAGACATGGTCTCACTAAGTTATCCAGGCTGGCTTTAAAGGTGTGATCCTCCTGCACCAGCCTCTCAGCATGCTGGGATTAGAGGCATGTGTCACCACACCCAGCTAACGCATAAATCATAGAAGTGCTAAAAAGTTAGCATAACCCTGGACAACATATCCTTTACCTGCAGTGCTGGGTTAGAAGGATTTGTCTATGGCTGGTTGTGGCATCTGACCTAATAGAACTGAGAAGTTGTTTTGTGAGGAACAGTTTTTCAGTAGTTGTTCTGACAGTTCATTACAAATTTGCATTATTTATTACAAAGAAGTCTAGCTCTACAGCAAATAGCAGTCTTTGCAGTATAAAGTCCACGCCATAGACGTTGGTACTTGGTGGCAAGACCTGTGTTCCTTAGTATTTGCAGCACCACCTAGTGGATGATGGTCACCCTTCAATTAGAATTATATTTAAATGACAATTCTTTCTTACCAGGTTAGGCAATTTGTTAGATATCACTTAAAGTACTAATAGTACAGGGTAAGGTTATCATTATCAGAGAAAGCTCTTTACAAAATTTAAACTGTACAATCCTTCACCATTCTTGTTTTTTCTATGTATTTCCAGTAAAGGATCCATCTCTTACAGGTTGCTTCTCACCACATATATGCCTTTGAATTAATGAAATATCTGTGTCATATTGTCCTTTACTAAAGCACAAGAAAACTTTGTTGGATGCTATAGTAGTCATTTCTTGGTAACTTTTCAGGGCTAAAGGAATGCTTTTGACATCATTTCTTGAGTCTGTTTATATATTCTGTCTTAGATGAATATGTAAAACCAAGTCAGGAATAGTTTAGTGGCTCAGATGGAAAACTAAATTGTTATACTAGGTTTTTCACCCCTGGGGATGCATTATTTCTTCCAATAAAAGGATTAGAAATATTATGAAAATGATGTTATTTTTAAGGGCATACTTGTAGTCCAGTTTTACAAGTGAGACCAGGTGTTTCAACAACTATTAGAACTCTTCCAATGACCGTTGCATAAAGTTAACTTAAAATTTTAAAAATCTTATTAGCAGATATGTTGGTTAAATGGAAAATATTTTACTCAGTCCTTTAAGAAAAAGTGTATTAGTCTTTAAAAAAGGATTATGCTGGTTTTAGAAGGATCTTGTTCTCTCACACTTGCTGTGGAAAATGAAAATACATTTATTTGGAGTTAATCTTTGCAGTTAATATGGCCTTTATTTCAGATTTCTGAATTTTTACATAGCATATCTCACTATTTGATTGTTTTTGTTTTTATATAGATGGTTGTCAAAACTTTCATGGACATGGACCAGGACTCTGAAGAAGAAAAGGAACTTTATCTAAACCTAGCTTTACATCTTGCTTCAGATTTTTTCCTCAAGCATCCAGATAAAGATGTTCGTTTACTGGTAGCATGCTGCCTTGCTGATATTTTCAGGATTTATGCTCCTGAAGCTCCTTACACATCACCTGATAAGCTAAAGGCAAGTACTAATTTAAAGAACTGCTGAGATTATACTTTGATATGGAGAATTAAAATATTTACTTTCTTTGGCTTCTTTGATAGTAGCTGTAGCAATCTTCTGTTGAATTACTATTTTATTTTTAGCTCTTATATCATTTTTGAGGCAACTGTTTTACCTTTTGAAATCCCATATTGAAGACCATGGTCATTATGTAAAAACATTATCTAGTATAAACCTGGATTCAAGCTGTGTAAAAGATATAAAATAATTATAAGAGAGACCAGGTAGAATTTTTTGGGAAACAAAAGCAGCTAGTATAGAGGACAGTTGTTGGAACTGGTGGTTGTAATGGTGTCCAGTCTGCTCCCTGTCCTGTGGGTTTTTTTCTGTTGCTCTTTTTAAATACTTTTTAAATACTTAAATGTTAAAAAAAATGAGAGAAGTTTTGCTACTTTGAGTAAATACGTTACTATATTATAAATATTATGTGTGGTCCAAGACAGTTTCTCTTCACTCAGACAAAAAAAGAGGCCTGAAAAAGAAAGAGTGGAGCACAGGTTGGAGATGTGTGGTATAGAATGATGGTTCATAGGAAGATTATTAACCCACAGTGTGAAAGGTGGCAGTTCGTTTGTTTCATTTAACAAATGTTATTAGTTGTGGGTCAAAAACTGGACTTACAGTGATAGGGATTAAAAACAAAAAACTAGAGATGGTTCTTGGACTATGAAGTTGCTTTTTCGGTAATCGGAGTGAAGAACCTGCCACTCTATCAAGTCTGCCAAAATTCGAGTATGGAGTGCCTGCCAGCTGGGCATCTTGTTTTATATTTTCATTAGAGACAGAATCTTAAGATGAGGGAAGTGTAGAGGGCAATATTTGTCATTTAAACGTTGAACTGAATTCTAAGATTTGAGAATGGTCAGAGACTTACAGTAGACAACATGAATTGGTTATGTAGTTGTGTCCCCAGGTGCATCGATTGGTTTCTGATAGTGAACTTCTGATTTGTAAGTACTTCACTGGTTTAGGGCATGATTGTCTTTGTGTCTTTGTGTTGCTATGACTCTTCCTCACCAGGTGTCTTGTTGACGTTATCACCAAGAGGCAACGTTGCTTAAGATTGCTGCTCTACAACTTAACTTGCTTGTGGATTTCTCAGTTTATCCTGAGTAGCTAGTCATCAGTGACTTAGCTCAGGGTTTTGGGGTAATGAAGTACAGATTTGTCCTCTATAAAAGAACAGTATAGGAGAAGAATACTGAAGAGCTAAGATCAAATTAGGGTCTTTGTGGGTTATTTACTAGCTGAAAAATTTATCTTACTTTTCTGACCAATCTTTTGGTCTTATTCCCCCCTCCCCCAAGGGGTTAGTATTTTAAAAATTACTGATTTTTAAAAGGGTACTTTCTGATCTGTTTTTACTAGCATCAGATTCATATTTTTCTGTCTGTGGCTGTGTTACATATGTATAGTAGTTAACTATGTCACCGTGGCCCTCCTCTTTCTCTCCATGGTCAGTTTGTTATTGTCACCAGCAAGCCCTTTTTATATACCTGGCTTCATTTTCAGGTCAGTAATGGTTAGAGAGTTATAAATAAGTTGGCCATTGTCTTTTCTCTAATTAGAGCCAGTATGGCTGCTATTCTTTTTTAGATAGTCTCAGAAGGGTTTATTTATGGAGATTTTTTTTATTATTACTCTGAAAATAACTTTGAAGGGTCTACTTCTGATGTACTTTACTTGAAAAGCCACTCAGCATTTGCATAATGTTTCTTACCTTTAAAACATGCTTATCATCTTATAGGATAGACTTTTTTTCTCTTATTATATGCTTCCTTTGTGTAGAATAAGCTTTTATAATTTTAAGCCTTTTAAAAACTTTTTAGAAACATGTATTTTTTTCATAAAACTCATTTTAATAAAAAACTTGACTAAAAATGACATTGAGCAGACCTGTCTCTACAGCTGCAAATGGGGAGGTAGTGGTAAATCAAAAGCAAAAGATGATGGTGATGGCCTGAGAACTAGTAGTGTGGTGGGGGAGGAGGGGAGGAGAAGGTGCGTAATTACAGAGATTAGATAGGAAGCTTGGCAGGTTGACTCGTAACAGTCTTTCATAAGTTTCTAAGCTTTTGTGTGCCATCTCATCCTGTCACTTGGTAACTTTTTTTATTCCTGGGGTTTGAATCTAGGGCTTTTTGTGTGTGCTAGTTAACTGCTGTGTCATTGACCTGCCTCCTCACCCATTGTATTTTTTTACTTTATTTTATTACAGGATCTAGTAAGTTGTCAAGGCTGCCCTTGAACTTGAGATCTTCCTGCCTTAGCATTCTGAGTTGCCAGGATTATAGTCATTGGCCACCGTGCCTAGCTCACTTGGCAATTTTATTTTGGAATTTTAAGTTTCTTAACGTGTTCTTGCCAATTTGGACCACCAGTGGTACGTGCATGACTGTCCCGTCAAGCGGCTTATACTGCACCGCTGGCGGTGCAAATGAATCTGATCACTTTTATTGGTCTTTTTACTGATTTAAAAAAGCCACCTGATACGATAGTCATGCATGTGCCACTGGTGGTTCAAGCCACCAGGGAGACATAGGAATTACATGCCAGTTGTATAAACATATTAAACTATGCCTTTGCTACGTAATTAAAATGTATTTTGCTGTTCCAGTAAATTGGGCCAGTTCTAAGTTACTGCAACATTTTTTAATTCTGATTATAGTATAAAATTTAGTTGACTTGTTTTCCAGGCCTGTTTATTTAACTTGCTGTAAAATATTCCTTCCCTACTTTAAGATCATGTAAATGATTTAATGTTATCTAAAGGAGAGTAAGGTAGCAGTGGTGGTGAACATAGCGCACGCGCGGCGCAGTGGGCATGCAGAGCCCTCTGTTGGCACCTGAGCCACGCTGCTGCAGCATCACCCCAGCAGCTGAGCGGAGAACGTTCAGGTCGAACTGCAGTGTTGGCACTTTGTGATAAATGTGGGTTTTAGTTTGCAGTTTGGGCACTCAGTCTCTAGAAGCTCCCCATCACTGATATGTAGCGTTTTTCATATAAAGCTGTACTTTAAGAAATCCATCCAGTTCGTTCTTAGTTCTTTGCAGTGTAATCATGATATATATACATAAGTGCTGGATCGGCTTTTATTTTTTAATGTGTGTTTTCATTTAGCAATCATAATCTGAACAGTACTTTGTCTTTTTCTTCTAAGGATATCTTTATGTTTATAACAAGGCAGTTAAAGGGACTAGAGGATACAAAGAGTCCACAGTTCAATAGGTATTTTTATTTACTTGAGGTAAGCAGTGTATTTTATCTTGATGTGACATTTTAAACTTTTTTTTGTGCTTGCATATTTTTCAGTTGAAGTACTTAACATTTTATCTTTTGCCTGCCCCCTCTTATTTTTAGAACATTGCTTGGGTCAAGTCATATAACATATGCTTTGAGCTAGAAGACAGCAATGAAATTTTTACCCAACTATATAGAACGTTATTTTCAGTTATAAAGTAAGTTTATTTTACTAAGTATAACATGTTAAAAAATACAAAGGTAAAGGATTTTTAACTTACAAGTGAGTTCATATAAACTGGGTTTGTTATGCTAAATATTAGAGGGCTAAGAGTTATAGCATTTGTTTACTTTTATACATGTTTTTAAAACAAATGAAGTTAATTTTGTATTGTGAGGGGTTGAATATTATTTTGTAGAATAATAAAATAGGTCATTTTAAAAATTACATTATTTGCCCTTTATTTAAATTAAATATTGACTTTTTAAACATGTGGTTATTTTGAACTTTTTGTGTGTTTAAAATTACACTAAATTACTAAAATTTCAGAACAATTTGGCTTTGTAAGACAGAATTGAAGATTTAATCACTTTGGTTCTGACATTGATTAAAATTGGGAGAAAGTAATCCAGGGAGTGTAGTTTGAAACATATTTTGCATACTGTAAGATTTGGAGAATACAAGAAAGCTTTAAAATGAGTACATACAACTTCGTTATTTTTGTGTCATTTTTTTAAAGTGCACTGTTTTGCTGCTATCATCTTATGATTAAGGCCTATATATCTCCAGGATATAAATTAAATGTGTTTTGAATTTCAGCAATGGTCACAATCAGAAAGTTCATATGCATATGGTTGACCTTATGAGCTCTATTATTTGTGAAGGAGATACAGTATCTCAGGAGCTTTTGGATACAGTTTTAGTTAATCTGGTGCCTGCCCATAAGGTGAGTGTACTAAATGTTTCTAAGTACTTTCAATATTTATATCTAGATTTGTGCTTGCATTTTATCCTACTTTAGTTTTAGTGTGCTGATTAGTAGTAATACTGTTTAAAGTATAATAAGGTATGTTCAGTTATGAGTCACTCATTAAATGAGAAGAACAAGTGATTCTGCAAGAACATATCTGAATATTCAGTTTTGTGTTTCTGGTGTATTTCAGAAAATGAGTTAAAAAAGAGCTACTTTATGCAATGACATGATTTTATATGTTAAAGGATGAACCAGTTAGGGTATTAGCTGAAATACAATGATAGCATAGTGAGTGAAATTAAGAGCAGTTTTTACTAATTGGAAAACAAGGAGTATATTGATGCCAGTGTTTTTTTCTAAGTGACATTAATAAAGGTGGATGCTTTTATATTTTTTTTTGTTGCGTTTTGATTTTTGAAAATGATGGATTGTCTTAGAAGCGGTTAGAAATATGGTTCTTTGATTTAGAAGGGGCTTAGACTCTGGAAGTATACAGGAATCACTAACATAAGCTTCTGTTGGAATTTAAAAACTTTCTGCCAAAATGTAATCTTAGCCTATAGCTACATAGCATTAATATGAATACTTCAATAAAAATGACTCCATAATTCAAAATTTCAAAATTTAAAATAATCATAGCAGTGCTGAAAGTAGGCAGACACTACAAATAGTAAGATTAGACTTCAGAAGTTCAATTTAGTGTATTTATTAAATGAAATGATCGGTGCTGGCATGGTATAGGCTCTGGGCTGATACCATCTCTCCACTCCTTTGCTGTCTGGTGTCATTCCTCCTGGTGTTTAGCGGAGTGTGGCTCATCTCATCTTAACTCTACGCAGTCCTGCCTTGTTTCTGTGCTTGGTGACTACAAGAGGGCAGCTGGCGGGGAGAGAAGGCCATCCTGAGGCTTATTCAGCCACCTCTTTCATCTTGGTGCCTGCATGCAGTTAGGATCCCTGTTAGGCTTTTAATGAAAAGAACTATAGAAACTGGGTGGGGGCCGAGCATCCAGCTTCTTTGGGGGAATGACCAGGGGTACCTGTCCTGATGCCTCAGCCTCTGTGCCCTATATGCTCAGGTGTTGGGGGGCAAGGACCATGAATCCAATTGCAGGGTAACTATAGAGGAGGATTGGGCTTCTAACAGGAGATGTAGACTGCCCTAGAGGGGCACCTGATCATATTCCCAACCCTGCCATCCAGTGCTTATGGTCATGCTAACATCTCTAATAGAAAACCCTCCGAGGTGCAGGTCATGGATCCAGCTTGGGTTTTTGGATTCAGCAGTGGACCACCAGAGATGTCCCAGGTGTCATCTACCCAGTCCATTGTCATGGAAAAGACTTTGAGGGGGTAGGGGGTAGGCTTTATTTTTTGGCCTGAAAGTATAGTTCAAGGGTAGAACATTTGCATACTACGTGTGAGGCACTGGGTTTGATCCCCAACACTGCTAAAGTAATACACACTAACAGGCACTTCCTTCCTGAGGGCACTTCCCTCCTGAGTGCATGGTTTTCTTTTGTTGTACAGAGACACTTCTACAAACTAGTATTCTAAGACCCAACTCTTGTGAGTACAGTAGTTGGAATCTTATCACCAACTAGTACTTGTAATTCTGTCCTATGCTTAGTATGTTTAGCTTAGACTGGAACTTTTCCAGGTAAAAAAGTTGTATAGCCCTGGGATAGTTTCAGCTCTTTGTAGGTTAGTGAATGTTTATGGTCTGAATAAACATTCTAATAAAGTTTTAAGAAAATCATAAATTTACTTAAATGGATTAAAAAGTAAAATGCTTACATGTATTAATCATAAAAATAAAAATCCCACTAGACATATGAAAGGAGAACTTTTTCATAGAAGGAAAACTTAGGAGGAAATCTTAATAGAAGTGAAAAATGGCCACTGAAACTACAATCTTGATTAGATTATATATGGACATATTTTGAGAGCTGGGAGATGGATCTGAGGAAGTTGTAATAGACTGAGAATGGTAGAAAAAACATGAAAGATATGGTCCAGTAAGTTTAGTGGTAGAGGTGATACTCAATAAAAATTAGCTTGAAGTCCTCCAGAACTAGTGGAAAGGAAAGCATGCCTTTGTGGCTTAGAAAGAAAGAAAAAGTATCATGAACAGAGTAAAAAATAAATCTTTGTCCAGGCACATCCTGGAAAAAATGAGGAGCATCCAAACAGGAATAATATATAAAACATGCAGAATGAAAAAGTATAGCTTTTAAAAGGAAATGAAAGATAAACTGATGGCTACTTTCTTTACTGGGTGGATGCTGGATAATAGTGGAAATATATTCTCAACATGGTAACAAAAAATAATCAGCAACCTACAGTTCCATATCTAGTTAAATGAGGACATCACATAATTACAAGTAAGTCCTTCCTGAAAGAACTATTATATGAGTACTTTACAGTGAAGAAAATTTAATTTTAAAGTGTTACTTAACAAGTAGTGATGAACAAGAAGTGCTCTTAATAAAGGACTGATACATAAAACAAAAACAGTACTAGTAATAATTAGTGATTAATTAAAGGAGTATTAGCAAATTGGCCCTAAACCACTGGATGCAAATAATACATAAGATAGAGCGTTTAATGCATGATACGATCTTGTTGGTGGTCAGGAAAGTTTAGATGTATTGATTCGCTTTGAATTTTTTTTTTTTTTTTTAAAGATAAGATCTCGCTGTGTAATCCAAGCTGGCCTTGAACTCATTATGTACCTCAGGCTGGTCTCAAACTCTCAGCAGTCCGAGTGCTGGGATTACAAATGTGTGCCACCACGGCTGGCAGCTTTGAACTTTAAATGAAGTATATTCCTCTTAAAATATTAAGGATTATAAAAAAAACAAGTGGTAGTGCATTCCTGTAATCCCAGCACTTGGGAAGCTGAGGCAGGAGGATCACTGAGAGTTCAAGTCCAGCCTGAACTATATAGCAAGACCTCATCTCAAAAATACAAAAACAAAACAAAACGGGGGTATGTCTAAATTTACTGTGTATATTTAATAACACAAGTAGTGAGATTGGTTTGAAGATAAGCTAGCTGTTTGATAATAATAAGAGAAACAGCTAAAATATAGCCATGGAAATTTGGATGTGAAGAGTTAGTATCTTGCCAGACAAATGTAAATCAAAATAAAACTGAAGTAGCTTGTATTAATATTTTAGATAGTAATTTTTACTAGATAAAAAAATGCTTTACTAATAAGAGGTTTAATTAGGAATATTTTTAAACTGGTATACATAAACATGCAGATATATGAGGCATAAATTGGGAGAATTATGAAGATAAACAAATCCATAACTTTGTGATCATTTTAGCATGCTTCCCAGTGATTATAAACCAGGTAGACCAAGAATGTATAGGAATATTGTGAATTTGAAACATAAAACTGCAGTAACATAATTTGACAAAACATTTTAATGGCAGTTTAGAAATGATCACTGAAATGCTATATATTAAAATTTGTGGCATGCAGGTCAAACAATTTTTATTTTTTATTTTTTTTTTTGTTTTTGGTTTTTTTTCTGGTACCGGGAATCGAACTCACGACCTTGCACTTGCCAGGCAGGCACTGTGCTGCTGAGCTAAATCCCCAGCCCCCAGGGCAAATACTTTTTAAATGTTATTTTGTAACCAGGTATTCAATTTGAGAAGTTACAAAACATTAACAGGATTTAAAAAAAAAGTATATAAGAGGAAACAAACCAGAGAGCAGAAATGGATCAAACAGAAAATGTAATGATACTCCATGGAAACCTTAAATTGGAAATTTGAGAAATATATTCAGTAGGTAGACACTTGGTATATTAAATCACAGAAAGGGAGATGATACCAATATACAGTTTGAGAATGCGATGAAGAACAGCATACATGAAGATAATTCCAATAATATTTCATACCAACATTTAAATTAGACCAGATAAATCTATCGACATAAAACTTGCCTAGTTTGTCTTGAGAAGAAAAATCTTGGATCGCTTTAACCAATTAAAAAGATGTTCTGCCTCCCCAAACAGAAGCCGCCACAGTAGCAGCAGTGGAACTCTGCTCGTAAACAATGAAAGAATCCGGGGGTTCTGTGGGTGAGTTAGGTGGCAAACAGTTTTAATATTCAGCAAAATTTGAGCTTATAGAAGAGGGGGAGATAACCCACAATTCATTTTATGAATAGAGCACATGCTTCCTAACAAAAACTGACAAAAACCAGTCCCAGAAGGGAGGTAGTTTATGAATACAGTCATATAAATTCAGTATAAAACAATTGTAGCTCCCGGAATGATTGAAAATAATACCGATAACGATCAAATTGGTTTAATGTCATGTTTACAGTGGTGGATTGGCACGAGAAAGGTGTTAGGACTAGACTAAGATAGTTGTCTAAAGAAACAGACCAAAAAGAAGTCTTTCAGTAAATAGAGAAGAAAACTGGAAAAATTCAGTATAATTTGGGATAAAAACTCTCAGCAATTTTGAAATAGGAACTTCGTTAAACTTAATAAGGATATCTGGACACTAGGTGAAATATTGAAACATTCTCTTCGAAGTTAGGAAGATTAGAAAAGTGTTGTTTTTATTGAGGAAAAATCCCAAATACGCTGTTTCTAATCAGCATTATACTAGGAATATTAACCCTTCAAAACCTAGTTGGTGTTCCAGTTTTCATTACACTCATAAGAGTAGACCATAATAAAATTTTTCTTTTCAAATTCTTGTTCCTTCAGTTTTTATAGGTAACGTATGAATTTCATGCAAAAATTAAAAAAAAATTGCAACCTTTGGCATAAATAAGTTAGTATGATGAAACAAGACAGGTTTTACAAAGTTAAAATAAAACTGATTATTTGTTGATTATATGATTTGGCAGAAAACAAAGCAGTATGCACATAAATTTTTTGAATAGATGGAAAAATCAGTAAAATTGCTAGGTCATTATAAAAATCTTTAAACAACATTAAAAAGTTTTCATTTTTAGTTTTAAAAAGGACACAACATACTTAGAAATTTAACACATGCACATGACTTTTTAAAAAATGGTTTTAGTTGATTGAAAGACATAATAGAAAATGTAACATGTTGAGAGAGTTGGTATGGAGTGAGACTCAGTATCCTAATGATGCCAGGTTTTGGCATACAGATTGATCAAGATAGTATGTGTAGTTTGACAAACAATCTAAAATTCACAAGGAACACAAAATGGTCAGTAGTAGCCAAACATTTTGAAAAAAATGGAAAAGTGGACACGACTTTTCTTTTTATATGACCTTTGGACTCTGACCAGGCAAAAATGAACAAACTTACGGGAGTCATGGCTAATTTATAAATGACATGCATAGGTATGTAGAAGTTGAGAGAGTATTATAAGTCGTTAGAGGGAATACTGGACCACTTAAACAGTGCTTTTAAGGCAGTTGGCTACTCACATGAAAAATGAAATTGTTACTTCATACTGTACATGAAAATAGATTACAGTTGGAATAAAGATCTAAATTTGAAAATTCAAAATTTTATTTGGAAATAAAACATCTTAGTAACCTCATTGTTGAAATATATTTCTTAAAAGATATAGAAGACATAAAGCATGTAAAAGACTAATATATTTGATTTCATTAAAGTTAAAAACTTTTACCTGCATTTAGATATATACATTGTGAAAAGACAAAGGATAGCTTAAGATATGTTCTATGTGTAACTAATTGGCAGAGGTTTATTAGTGTGTAGCAGTGGTGGTGAACCTATGGCATGTATGCTGCAGGAGGCTTTTTGTATCATTAAAAGCTCTTAGGGCATTGAACTCACTGTGTAGCCCAGGCTGGCCTCAAATTCATGACAATCCCCCTGCCTCAGCCTCCTGAGTGCTAGGATTACAGCCATGCACCACAGTGCCCAGTCTTTATAGCAAAATACTAAACATCAGTTAGAAATGAAGTAATACAGTACAGATACCAAGGCAAGAATGTCTGAAATATGTGAGTAAAGATTGTGGATTTAAGGTTATATATGCACTGATCCTGTCCTGGAATGCTTAGCTCCTAGAAGTGATTCCACTTTGGACTTTCAGTCTTTCTGTCATCAGAATCTCTCAGAAACACATTTTAAGGTACTCTTTTGGGTACTTTATGCTTTACTATATGTTGTGTTCCTTGTGTCCCTGAACTTACCTATACGCTCAGTACCTTTGATTTTCTGTAGCTGTCTAAAGCCCTACTGCTCTTCCTCTTCTTCTGGCTCCCCAGTGCGGCCCACAGTGGAGTCCAGTTTATCCTCTGAGGAGGTTTTGCTGCGTCTGGACCTGGCTGGTTACAACCTGTATTTGTACTAAACTGATTTGAGTTTGGGATTAGATTTAGAGTGACATCTCTTTAGTGACTAAATATTTATTAAACATTTTTGTGTTTTGCATTACATTATGAACATTTTCAAGAATATAATTATTCTTGCTTGGAAGGGATTATGTGAAGTAGTAGGCCAGATTTTCTGATGAAGAAAAATGACAGTGCTTTCTTTTATAGATAGTAGTTTCTCATTCATTTCCTCAAGACTAGCCTTTGAATGCAGATACATTTTGAAGGCAGAGCTCAGTGGCGAGCACTGTTGTAGCATGTGTGAGGTCCTAGGTTTGATTCCCAGTACTGCAAAAAACCAAACGAGCAAAACAGGTTTTTTATTTATATATATATATGTATATATATGTATATATATGTATATATATTATAGACATTGTTTATGTTTTTCAGAATTTAAATAAGCAAGCATATGATTTGGCAAAGGCTTTGCTGAAGAGGACAGCTCAAGCTATTGAACCGTATATCACCAATGTAAGTCTTACTTTTAATTGCTTGTAAGAATGAGTAAATCAAAATTTAAACACTGTTAGATGCAAAATTTCAGCAAGTAGTGTTTACTTTTAAAATGTATTTTTAAACTATTAAGTAGTGTGTTTTCTTTTTTTCCTTACAATTATTCTTGGTTAATATTTTTTGGAAGCTTATCTCATCTTGTTTGTTCATTTTGCTTCTTTCAAATTGCTTAGGAGTTAAAACAGCTCGTATTTTGGTTAGGAAGATACACTGTTTGTCGTGTTAAAGTGTAGTTTGATAAAACATGGACTGTATCAGTATTCAGAGAAGTTGTTCACAGCTTTTTGGAGATAAAGTGGATTTGTCCAACAAGACAATATGAACTAATAGCAAAATAGATGATATGCACTAATAGCAGAACTAACAGCAAATAGAAATTGAAGGCAAGTATGACTGGCACTAGCAATTTGGTCAGAGTTGCTTCTCTATTGCTGTCACATGCAGAGGAAATACATAAATTTATGTTTTTGAGAAGGAGGGAAGATTGTAATGGAATGAACCCTTTGAGTATCACCCCACTTCTATGTATAGTTTTTACATATTTATTTTAGAAGAAGTTAATTTTATCCGTTTGATTCAGTGGTAGAAGTTTATGGTATTTGGTAGGCTTTATTTTTTCTTTACAGTTCCGTTGAACTCTCCAGGTGGTGCTCTCCAGGTGGTACCATTCATACTGTATTCTGTGAATGATGCCTCCTGGATCACAGGTCTAGCATATAGTGTTCGTGGTGGTCCCTCGAATTGTTTGACAGATCTTTCTACCTGCTTTCTGCTTTCACCCACCCCTAAACAGGTAAAGGATGTAAAAAAAAACGAGTCCTTTTGTAATTATTTACGTATTCTTCTGTAAACTGTTGAAAAAGATTTTTTCTTGGATGGATACCACAATTTAAAGTCAGGATATGAAAGCGATCATGAAAAGATGTTACTTTGAAAAGTAACACATTTTCTTCTTTTTTTTGTCTCTTTGAGACAGGGTTTCACTGTGCAGTTCAGGCTGGCCACGAGCTCACTTTGTAGCCCAGGCTGGTCTTGAACTTGCAACGATACTCCTGCCTCAGCCTCCCAAGTGCTGGGATTACAGGCGTGAGCCAGTGACACGTTTTCTAAAGTAGTACCTTGATAAATTCTGGCTTTTGTTTCTGGCACGTAATAATTTGGACAGATAAAATTTTATTTGTAAGGGAACTGTTTTGAAAGATGAACTTTCAGAAGCTGTAGAATCAAGTTTTATGATCTGTCCTATTGCAAAATTTGACAGAGAATTCCAAATACTGGTTTTTACAGTTTTTTGAGTGTTGGCTATTGGTTGAATTGAGTACCTTGTCTTTTCCTTGCTTCTTGTGCCCCTGAATATTGAGTTCCATGACCTCATGGAACTCCTTAAGTGTGTAGAGCACACTTAAGTGAGCTCATTCTGTTACTCTTTGTTTAAACCAATCCTGTCAAGCGAGATATTTTTTAGGGGAACACTTACTTTATTTTGATGACGTTTTCTGGCATAAAGGTAAGGACATAATAAATATTTGAGTGGGATAATTAAGGAAAAGTGAATAAAATGATGATATTTATTTGGACTTATGTGATTAGATTCATTATCCTTCCAATTTGGGGGTATACGTGAAACTATTTATAATACAAGTTAAAGAGAGAAGAAGGGCCCAAGGAAACACTTCGAGCAATTGCAGCTAAGTCAGTTTATAAACATTTCTCTATCACTTATGCCTGCTGTTCTTCTCTACGGAATTTCTTGTTATATCCTCTATCAGAAGGTGAAGGGCTAGGGCCAGGGGACTTAGTAAAGTGATTCTAGCACTTTCTCAATTATATATTTATTTCTAGTAACGTGTCCACTTTTTTCTTTTGTCTCTCTGTTTTCTTGTCCTGTTCTGAGGTTGTCTTAAGAAGTCAGTGAGGATTATTTCCCCCTCCTCCAAGTTCCTTACAAGTCTTACTGCCTTTTGACTTTAAACCTGTATAATTTCATTTAAAAATCACTCTTTAGTGAACTTAATTGTCCTGTAGCAGTATAAAATTAGTAATGTTAGAAATCATTTCTCAACTGAGCATGGTGGCACATTCCTGTAATCCCAGCCCTCAGGAAGCCCAGGCAGGAGAATTGTCCTCAGTTTGAGGCCATGCTGGTCTGCATAGTGAGTTCAAGGCCAGCCTCAACTACAGAGCAAAATACTGTCTCAAGACACTCTCCCTGCTACCCTCCAGGAAATCATTATCAGCTCTTTTGGATTTATGGATGGCATAGCTATTGTTCATTTACTTCCCTTGCATAGAATTAGCAAGAAGTAATAAGATGCTGAGGTAATAGTAATCTCACTTTTTTTCCTACTTGTTTTGACTCTTGTACCTGGAGAACCTGGAATTTTGATTTCTATAGGCAGGACAACCAACGTGTTCCCAGCCCCAGAAAGAAGAGAATGAATTGGCTTTTTCTTTGCTTTTTGTATCATCCATTTTGCTATTGGTTCATATTGTCTTGTTGCACATATGCTTGTGTCATGCCTGTATGTGAGTCTCCAGTGCCTGACTTGATGCCTGGCAATTAGTGGTCATATAATAAATGATGAGCACGATGGTATTTTCCTCCACATTAGCTAGTTGTAGAGGTGATAGCTGTACTACCCCAGTCCCTTGGATAATGCCTGCCCACATTATGAGCAGTCTTCCCCACTCGCTCCTGGATTCAGTCTTCTGTGGAAACGTTCTTGAAGACATACTCAGAAATAATTCTTTGACGTTGCCCAAGTATCCAAATTAACATCTAAAATGAGTTATCAAAGATGATATAATAAATGTAATGGGAATAAAATACATTTGGTAGGAGCTTTATTGATATGTTAATTGATGAGCCAGTAGAGATGATCTTTTTCATTGTATATAAGACGCATTCCATGTTTTATCTGTTCATATTTATATAGCATTTTCCCACCCATTAGAAAATGTTTTGATATGTAAAGTTTGACTTTGAATAAAATAATGAAGAACTTAATTGAATAATAATTAAGACTTGAGGAAATTCATTTTAGCTATGGTGTTTCTACTAATGTTAAAGTTTCTTTTTCTTCTGAAGTTTTTTAATCAGGTTCTCATGCTTGGGAAAACATCTATCAGCGATTTGTCAGAGCATGTCTTTGACTTAATTTTGGAGCTCTACAATATTGATAGTCATTTGCTGCTCTCTGTTTTACCACAGCTTGAGTTCAAATTAAAGGTAACTATTATAAAAATAATATGATTCTATCCGCCAGGTTAGCAAATATAAATATAAAACTATTGACCATTGCTCACCCATATTTACCGTAAGGTAAATAATATACAGTAGGGTAGCATTCTGACTTCCTCAGAGTTATTTTCCTGGCTTCTGCTGAAACTATAACCCAAATACTGAAAAGATTGAGCCTATATGTAAGAAATGAATTGGGGTCAAGAGAAACATGCCGGTCAATAATTTAGGTACAAATTTGCTTTCTCGTTTATTCTAGCAGACCCTAAGTTGTGAATACCTGTAACCATCTGAGTAGGTTTCCACAGGCCAAGTCTTAGACATTCTATGAATCATGACCCTTGAGTGCACAGATTTCAGTTTACTGTAAAGTAATGGGTCATTATGGATATTTTTAAATGGTCCCTTTAGAAATCTTGCTTAGTTCAGACAAAACAGTTTTTTTTATCTAGTCCTTAATTGGGTAGGGAAGTCATTAGTAATGACAAAATTTTTCCTTTAAGGAATTTTGCAAGTAAACCGAGCATTTATATGATAAAAAGACATAGAAATGGTCTGATATAGTTGCTTTAAAATTATTCTTTTAAACTGTCCAGTTAACCACAGAATCATCTAAATTAAAAGGTTATGGCTTCAAGAAAAAAGTGATATATTTGTCAGATTGCTCAGAATGATGGCATTTCATAGACATGGGGTTATGACCTATGCTTTTGTTTTGATGAATGTTTAAAAACAAAACAAAAACATTTACATACGGGTTTTATTTATACACACAAACAAATGAAAAAACTCAGAATTGTTACTGGGGTTCTGGGGTGCTTTGGGCCCTTTTCCAGAGATCTTTCCAGGTTCTTGTTATGCTGAGCAAAGAACTGGACAAGAAACATACAAGAGGTTTTATGTTTATTAAAGACAGGGAAAGAAATACGTTCTGCAGAGTGAGTGGGGCCGATTAAAGGTAGAAAAAGTACAGAGTGAGAGTGGGCCACCAACAGAGCTCACAGTGGTGGCTGCATTTTAGTTCTGAGAGTAATTTTGACTGAAGGTACAGGTGGGAGTGTATTACTGTTATTGATCATATGCTTGTGTCATGCCTGTATGTGAATCTCCAGTGCCTGACTTGATGCCTGGATTAGTAGGCACATAATAAATGATGAGCATGATGGTATTTTCCTCCACATTAGCTAGTTGTAGAGGTCATAGCTATACACTGAGCTTATATTAATAGTTACTATCCATAAAGTGTGAAATTTTTCTCATATTCATATTATCTCCCAGGTACTACGTTACTTTCTTAAATTGAAAACTTGTCTATTTTTCACATAGGCTTTGAAATTTCTTGGTAGAATGTTCCTGTTGCTTTGACATTGAATTATGCTGTAAAAGTGTTTTATTTGAAGACCTAGGAAATACATTTTTCTTTCAAATCATTACAGGAAAATTAAATAAAACTCAATTATTATTAATCTTTGATGGATCCCAGTATACTACCTAGAAAAGTTCTTATGATTTCCATGTAATATTTATTTCTAAAAATTTTAATTTGTCTCTTTTAAAACCGAAATTAAAAAATATTCACATTGCTAGTATGATATTCTAAACAACCGTTAAATAATTACTCTTCTTTTAGTTTGGAGTATATTTTTGGTGTGTTTCCTAAGTAAGTTACTTGATTAATTGGTCTCCTGCCCCTTTTTAAATATAGTTAGCGATTTTTATGAGACAAAATAGTCACAGTTCTAATAATTTGTTGATTTTCCTGATTTTCTCTAGTGAAAGTATGGAATAAATGCCATATGCATTTTCCTACACACTATGAAAAATATAAAATTAAAGAAATTATCATCCTTGCTTTCAGCCAACTTAATATCTAGTGTGGGAGGAAGAGGGAAAAAACAGATCTAATAAGAGGCCAGATATTATAAGCGTCATAAAGATACAGCTGCATACCATTGAAGGAAAGGCATCAGCATGCAGAAGCATATAGAGGTAGGAAGATGCTGGCTCAGTCTGGAACATGAGGAATTATAGTTGGAAGGTAACATAAAAGTAAATCTAAATCATTGTTGATTGCACATTAGAATCTTCACTTGCGGAGCCTTACTAGATTTCCAGGTTAAGCCAGGCCAGTTGAATCAAAATTTCTGAGAGTAAAGTCTAGGCATTTAGCTTGATGGACTTCTTACTTTGAAGCCTTAGAAGTGATTGTAATGTAAAGCTGGGGCTGAGAATTATTAATTTAGAGAAGTAAAAAGATGACATAGGTCTTGTTGTTGGGGCTTTTTTTTTTTGTTTTGTTTTTTTTTGTTTTTTTCTCTGGTACCGGTAACCGAACTCACGACCTTGCGCTTGCCAGGCAGGCGCTTTGCCACTGAGCTAAATCCCCAGCCCCTGTTGGGGCTTTTGAATGCTAGGTTGAGGTATTGGTTAAAAAAATTGTATAGGGGCAGAAATTGTGTAGTACTTTGAATGTTAGTGCTGTTTGATAGACCTAATTGCCACACTTTTATGTTCAAGACTAGTATTGTGACTTGCTCATTCGTTTAGCCATTGTGTAATTTGGTGGTGGTACCAAAATCAACAATACAATTGATTTTTCATTGCCAGAGTGCCTGCAATACAGGATATAAAAACAAATTCTAATTTTTGAATATGTAGGGCTTCATTAGGCTGTTGAATTTCATTTAGGAATCTGTGAGACATTTCTGTAAAGAACACAAAATGAATAGTCATGCAGAGTTACCTGTTCAGTGTAGGCTGGCTTTTACTACTTTTATTAAAAACCAGTTTTTCAAGGTCCTTTAGTAGGTTTTTGAGATTGACTCTGAATAGATGTAAACTTCATTTGTGGGAGGACCCTCTAACATTTGATCAGACATTTAATCATAGATGTATTTTTATGTATAAAGTACTGCTTTAATGTAATTTGAAATGATTATAACATTTATGATGACATTTAATTTTGTGAAAATTATAGTGAGCGTTTTTATGTAATTTTCCATTTGGAGTTCGTGAAAGATTTTCTGTGGAGGATAAGGAAACTCATGGGATGGGCCATATTCTGAATATGATACTTGGCTTTTAAACTGGTGTTTTTTTTTGTTGTTATTTTTAGAGCAATGATAATGAAGAACGACTTCAAGTTGTTAAACTGCTGGCAAAAATGTTTGGGGCAAAGGATTCAGAATTGGCTTCTCAAAACAAGCCACTTTGGCAGTGCTACTTGGGCAGGTATATGATTTTGGTTTCCTGGATAAAAGCAATATATGTTTATATCTACTTGCATTTTAAAAAAATGCTATCCATATGCTTTCTTCTCCAAAGTCGTATAAATGAAGGATATATTGAAATTTTGAGTGTTGATGATTTAGTTTCATCTTACTTTGTTTTCACTTTTTTTAAAAATGACACACGTTAAAAGCTATCTCACAGAGGATTATAATCATAAAACTAAAATTTATTATTTCAAGCAATAATGAATTCTAACTGAAAAATGCCTCTCTGGGAGATGTAGCCCCTCCACAAAAAAAAATTACATTTAATTAGATTATTTGGAGATATTGAAAAGCTAAAGATATTAACAGAATAAGTAAGTAAATTACTTTCTCCTTCCAACTTCCCATTCTGTATTTCTTACAGGAAATAATGACCTGGCTTCCTCATATCCTCTCAGCATTCCACAAAACACTTGAGTTGGTTTCAAACTGCATTTTGAGTGATTATATCATTTTTCTGTAGGAGGAGTTAATTTCTAAGGAAATTCCTGACATTGAAAATATAGAATAAAATACTATGAATGCCTTGTCTAAAAGTTATTTTGAGAATAAAAAAGGATTTATATTCTCTGAAATTATTTTCATAACAAATAGTTAAGATTTAAAGAGTCAGATTCTATTTTCTTTTGTGTTGTAGTATTTGTATTTGTATCACTTTTCTTCCCTTTTTAATAACAGAACTGGCAGTGATTGTAAATAATCTTTTTTTTGTTCTTTTTTTGATTTGTTAAATTAGGGTATAAGCCTTTGTAAGCGCTTATTGGGTTCTAAATTCTTAATCTGATTTCTTAGGGTTTATTTAGCTCAATGATAATGTCTAGTGAGAAAGTTAAGCTAATAAATATTAGCCCATTGTCATTTTGAGTTTGATTTCTGTATTTTTAGAATTTTAAATAGAGAGTTCCTAAACAGTAGGGCACAGTGTTTTACCAGTTTATATTATACAACTCAATTTCAAGTCCATTGTATTAAATTTTTGAAATAACAGTGTACACTTTTAAAAAAGTTTTTTTATATATTTTTTTAACAGTATATACTTTTGTGTGTTTTTTCGTTGTTCTTTGAGACAGGGTCTCTCTATGTAGTTTAGCCTGGCCTCGAACTCGTTATGTAGCCCAGGTTGGCCTTGAATTCACGGTGATCCTCCTGTCTTAGCCTCTTGAGTGATGGGATTTTGTCTGCTACCATACCTGGCAAACAGTATACTTTCACTGTATGGTGATATATCACATAATGGAAATACATTCTGAGAAATGCATCCTTATGTGGTTTTGTTTTGAGAATGTCATAGTGTGTATTTATACAAACTAAGACAGCTATAAACTAGACAGTAGGAGTTTTTAAGCCCGATTTTAATCTTTCTTTAATTTTTTTTTTTTTTTTTTTTTAGTACTGGGAATTGAACTCATGACCTCGCGCTTGCCAGGCTGGTGCTATGCCACTGAGGTGTATCCCTGGCCCTCCATTTTAATCTTAAAGGGCTACAGTTGTATATGTGACCTGACAGTAATGGAAATGTTTTTATGTGGTACATGGCTATATAAACATCTACTGTATTTTAAAATTAGGACTTAGGTTTTCACAGGAGGAAAATCCTAATGTAAACTTAGGTCACCTTTCTATTACATTATAATTATTCCTTTTGATACTAATGATGTAAAACTCGTACAGTGTTAAATATTAACCAAATTTTGCGCTCTGGGTATAGTTTCAGAGAGGCTTGCCTAGCATGCACAAGGCCCTGGGTTTGATTTCTGGCAACACACACGCACGCGCGCACACACACACACACACACACTAAATTGACAAGTGTGTTTTAGACGACCTTTTATATTTATGACTATAAGCTATCTGTTTAGTTGTAAAATGATAAGCCATAACAGGAATTTAAACTTGGATTTGAAGCACTCGGGAAGCTATATGGACCCATAGGCTATTTTTCTAACGCTATTTTTTGGTGTAGAGGGGACTGTATTTCATAGAACAAATACTTTTTTCTAGTAAGAACCTTTTTTGAGCTGAGTGTAGTGGGGTACACCTATAATCCCAGCTACTCAGAAGGTTGCGGCAGGAGAGTTGCAAGTTTAAAATCCCCCTGGGAAACATATAATACTCTCATCCTTTCCAAACCCTTCCAAAAAAGAAGAAAAAAGGCTCAGGATAATACTTAGTGCTACACTAGTGTACTATTTGATCACCTACCTAGTATGTGCAAGGCACTGAGTTCAAGCTTTAGTACCAAAAAAGAAATAAAACTCCTTTGAATTATTTGGTGCTGATTTTGAAGACATTGTTTTCTACATTTATATATATACTGAATTTTTTTCTATGATGTTGGGTGATACAAGATTTTGGAGTCTTTTGATTTTATAGAATTAAGACAAGAAGATAATGAAAAATACTGGTTTCACTTTAATGTTGACGTGTAAATTAAAAAAAAATCATTATTTTGAATTCCATGATGAATTGATGTATGTAGACTTGGAGGATCAATGGTATGGCTGAGAAGTGACTGCCATCATGTGCTTCCTGATGGAGGAACACAGCACCATCTTTATATAAACAAATCTTGTTAAAAATTGAATCTGAATCTGACCATTTCTCCAGATCTGAGTACCAAGGTCTAAGATGTAGGAACAGGAGGAGTCTGTGCACCAACATCGAAGTGGTTGGGTTAGCCAAGTGTAACGTCTGTGGTGCGCGTGCGCGTGTGCATGCAAACCTCCCCCACCTCCTTGCGCCGAAAAGTGTAGAGGATAAAAGAGAGTCAGAAGTATAAGCTGAAAAGAAACCTGAATGGCATGTTAATCAGTGAGTTTTAATTTTTAAAAAATCTGTAAATATTTACAGAACCAGTGTAAAAATTGGCTTTTCTGTAAGTGGAAATGTTACAATTGTGTGATTACTAAATAGTAATTTTGAGATATAGTTTGGGCAGAATCATGTGAGATAAAAAGTAACACAGGGCTTACTGTGAGATTTGCCATACCGTTGTGAATGTCCTGTATTGAAATACTTTGAGGAAAAGTTTTCTTTCAAAAATGCTATGAGATTTATATAACGTTTTTCTAAACTATATATACACACACATAAACTTCCATAAGCAGATATATTTGAAAGTGTAATATTTATAGGAAAATTTTCCTATTCTGATTGTTACATCTGAGCCAAATGTGTATTTTTTAAACAGACTCCTTAAAATAATTTGGTTCTCACAGGAAATCGCCCTGTTTTTTATGTTTCCTATATAAATTGTTTCTCTTTGATGAAGAAGTATAAACTGAGTACAGATTGAGCAGCCTGTCTCTTTATTTTGAAGACCACTCTGTGCCTTTATATCTTACCAGGTTTAATGATATCCATGTGCCAATTCGCCTGGAATGTGTGAAGTTTGCTAGCCATTGTCTCATGAATCATCCTGATTTAGCAAAGGATTTAACAGGTATTGTATACATATCACAGCAAATATTCCTAGATGCTGTTCAGTGAAAGAAAGAAAATAATGAATTTTATAGGGGGAAAATTGTTTTGTCGTGATAGGTGGTCTTATTTTGAGTTATCACAATGAAAATTGATTTATGAATTGATTTATGATTTATGAAGAATTTTATAGTACATGTCCTTTACAGGCTAGAAACATCTATAAAAAGATGGAGTCTTCATGAACAGTACCTCTTCTGGTTCCATCTGAATTTTAGGATTGTTTTCTCTAGTTCTGTGAAAAAATGCTATTGGTATTTTGATTGGCATTGCATTAAATCTCTGTATCAGTTTTAAAGTAGGCCTTTTTGTTGTTGTTATTGTTGTTTTGTTTCTGCTTGCCAGGCAAGTGCTGTGTGCTGAGCTATATCCCTGGCCCAAAGTAGGCCATTTTTGACAATACTGGTTCTGCCTACCCAGGAACAGGGGTTGCCTTCCCCTCCCCTCC